TGTTTGGCAGGTCCGGGCTGGGGATTCGAACCCGCCACCTTAGGTGTACGTGGCTGGCGCCTTAGCCGGTTGAGCTATAGGCACCGAGCCTCCATCAGTTCTTTTAACATACCAAGTTTGTTCCACCTTGCACTCACTGTTCCCCCTCTTCCTGCCCCTCACCTAACCATCCTTCAGGGCTTCCACCCAATGGTCCTTCCCCAGGTGGCCTCTGTAGAGCCATCCCCCTTGCCAACTCCATTGGTCCCCCTCCCCACTGCTGTCTTTCAAAGCATACTCTTCTTTAGAGCAGTGGTTCTCAATCACGGCAATTTTACCCTGCAGGGACATCTAGAAATGTCGGGAGACATTTTCAGTTGTGACAACTTAGGGAGGGGTTGCTACTGGCATCTCATGGAGGACGCTTAATATCCTAGCCTCCTTACGATAATGTTGATATGGACTAGGGTTGAGAAACTCCACTTTGGTCAAATTACCACAATTTACCATTAAATACTCTTTTGTGTGGTTACTTATTTCATACCTGTCTCAAAAATACATCTGTTTGGTTCCTCCTGATTCCCAAGAGCTGGGCACAAGGGTTTAGCAAACACTGAGTGAATGAACTGCACTAGGTCAGACTGGTTAGGCACTAGTCTGCCAGCCAGAGGCCCTGTAAATTAATCCTTTCCACAGAGTAGGAAATTGAGGCTCAGTGACCTTTATGCTGGGAACAGGGATTCTGTCAACCAGAATATTTGATTAACCAGAAGAACACAAGGGTGCTCAAAGGCATTTTTGGGTGCCAAAAATTCCCAGCCGGAGTTGGGGTTGAATATTATTTTTAGAGCTCTTCCTTTCCAGGTATGAGGGTAACTCTATGCCAAGTCACTGTGCCGCCTAGTGGCCATGATGGGGACTGCAACTTCCCCTCAGGCTGGGCGGCCCTTTTCTCTCCCTGGCCCTGGAAAGCAGGGTGCAAGGTGCCCGCCTCTGTGTTAAGTATTCCAGGGCCCTGGGAATCCAGGCTAAAGGCAGGCAGGAGGCTGGGGGCTCAGCCACGGGCAGCCAAAAGCGTAAGTGGGAAGCAGAAGCCCTGGCTCTGCCATGCTCAGTGATCTTGGAGAATCACTTTCCCTTTCTGGAAAAGGGGAAGAGGAGGCCAGAGAAGAGACAGAAGGCCTCGTACAGGCGGCTGGCACTCACCGAGGTGTAGGCCCGCCCACACATGCTGCAGCAGTAGGCCTTGGCGTGCTTGATGGCGTGGGCTGAGAGGTGGATCTGCAGGGAGGCGGAGTCCGAGTAGGCCCGGTAGCAGTTGGGACACTTGTAGGGCTTGTCCTTGTTGTGCTGGCGCTGGTGAGACTGCAGGGAGCACACCAAAGTCACAAGATGGGCAGAGCTCCCCGCCCCACCTTCTTATCCTGCTTTGGAGGGAGACCACAGTCAGGGGCAGGCAGGCACTCACCTGGAGGTTGGACAGCTGAGTGAAAGCCTTTTCACAGCCAGGATGTGGGCACTTGTAGGGTCTGTCGCCTGTGTGGATTCTGCAAGGGGCAGGTCAGTGAGCTGGAAATCCTTGACACATACCCTAGACCATCCCAGGCCTCGGCTAGCCTGGGACATACCTCTGGGCCCCAACCTTCCATATCCCCACTCTACCCACTTTTCCACAGTGGCCAAAAGCTAGCCCCAGGCAAGAGTTGGAGACATGGAAGGCCACCATCTCTTCCTGCCTTCTCTAACCTCCACTGCTAGTCTGATCAGAGCCTCCCCACTCCCCAAAGTTCCTTGCCCCCCTAACCTACCGCCAGCACCCACTGAGACTAGCAGTCTAGGCCTCCAACTAATTGTAGGGTGCTTGCTTTGACTGCATTCTTTTTTTTTTTTTTTTTTTTTTGAGACAGAGCCTCAAGCTGTCCCCCTGGGTAGAGTGCCATGGCTTCACTGCTCACAGCAATCTCCCACTCCTGGGCTCAAGCGAATCTCCTGCCTCAGCCTCCCAAGTAGCTGGGACCACAGGCGCCCGCCACAACGCCGGGCTATTTTTTGGTTGCAGCCATTATTGTTGTTTATCCATTATTGTTGTTTGACAGCCATTATTGTTGTTCGAATCCCCGGGCTGGGGATTTGAACCCGCCACCTTAGGTGTATGTGGCTGGCACCTTAGCCACTTGAGCCACAGGCACCGAGCCTGACTGCATTCTTTTAAAACCCCCACCCTGCAGACCACCCATTGGAAAGAACATAGATTCACACCTTTGATGGGGACCTTCCCTGCTCATCTGCCTCATTCCCTAAGAAGGAGTCATCTCCCTTTCATTGGCCCTGGACTCTTATTTTCTGTCCCCTCCCCTTGTCAGGCACATGTCCAGGAGTAACAGAGAAGGCAGGGCACTGTTTCCCTGAAATTCAGCTCCTCTGTGTCCTTCTTAGGAAGGCCTGTGTCTCTTAATTCCTGAGTTCTCATACTGGCTTTACTGTTTACTAGCTGGGTGACTTTGGGCAAATTACCAAGCCTCAGTTTCCTCATCTGTAAAATGGGTGTAAAAATACAGGCCCTACCTCACTGGACTTTGTGAAGATTACATCTGATAATATGTGTAGGGGGCTTAGCCTAGAGTTGGCACATAGTCAGCACTCAGTAAACATTTCCCAGTGTTGTTGTTATTCATTCATTCAACATTTATTACAATGGGCCCCCAAGTGCCAGGCACCATGCTAGCTACTTGTTACATACCAGTGAACAAAACAGGCAAAAAACACTGTCTGGCGGAACCAAACAATAAGCACAAAGTAAGTAAATAAATCACACACTTAAAAGTGATAAATGCTGTGGAGGAACGAGGTGAAGGGGACTATGAGTGCTGGGGGCATGGATGGGTACAGTTTTAAAACCTTGGCCAGAGGATGACTTCATGGAGAAGGTGACCTTGGGTAATGGTGCTTGTCCAGCAGCCCAGAGCTGCAGCCTGAGAGATGAGATTTCTGCACGTAGACCTCAGGTGCCTGGCGCCCATGACCAGCAGCCTTCCCTGCTGCCCACACTCTGGCCTTCACCCTGTCTCCCTGGGCTTCTCTTGAATCATCTGCTCCGGCATAGCCCCGCATCCCCAGCCAAGCTGGTAGGCAAGAGCATGCTGGCTGGGCCTGCACCTCATTTGCCTAATTTGCTGACAACCATTAGATGTCAGGAAAACCCAGGTCCAGCTAAATGGTGTGGTCCTTTGAAGCCCTGGCCCATCCAGCTGACTGGGTTTGCTCTGTCCATCAACAAATATCAAGGAAACAAAGGCCCTATAGGCAGGCCCCAGTGCTAAACATAGGGGGACATGGTGCTGATTAAAAGCACCCTCTGCTGTCAATAAGCCCATGACATTGGCTGCCATCACAACACACCATACAAGGCCTTCATCGGGGTGTCCAGCCTCACTTTCCTGGTCCTACATACCCTTCATCCTCGTCAGAGAACTATTTCTTTCTCTTTCTCCTCTTTTTCTCTCTCTTTTATTTTTTTTTCAGGCAGGGTCTCACTCTGCCACCCATGCTGAAGTGCAGTGGCCTAGTCAGCTCACTGCAGCCTCAAACTCCTAGGCTCAAGGAATCCTCCAGTTATAGCCTCCTGAGTAGCTAGGACTATAGGTGCCTGCCACCACACCTGGATAATTTTTTTTGTTTGTTTATAGAGATGAGGTCTCAGTGTTGCTCAGGCTGATCTAAAACTCCTGGGCTCAAGCAATCCTCCTGCCTCAGCCTCCCAAAGTGCTGAGATTACAGGCGTAAGCCACTGCACCGGGCCACATCTGGTGTCCTTATCTGACTGTTCTCCCTGCCACACCTCTGCCCTGGCTGTGTGCCTCTGCCTGCTGTCAGCTCCCCCTTCTTGATCTCTCACTGAGCAAGGCTCTAAGGAGCCTCCCTGAGCATGCTGCTCCCCAATGCTCCCAGAACTCCCACACATGACGGCTCTTCATCACAGTGCTGACCCCAGTAGACTCTTGCCCCACCCCCATGCCTTTCTCCTCTACTGAATGGGAAATCCCCATAGAGGAGACAGGTCCCAATCTCAGGAGCAAAGCCCAGGGTCTAGCCCACAGACTGCACCAAACTATGCCAAGAGAAACTGGGCTAATCTAGTCATGAGAACCTTTCCTCTACCTACACATTCCTGGATGCCACCTGTTTGGGGACATTATCTCAGGCTACTACGCCCTCTCTCTACATTTACCCATCAAAGGTCATCTGAACCAACTCCACTTGGTACCAGCATCCCCTCCATTTCATTCATCCTCACTCCACTCCAGGGTGACAGAGGAGTCTGAGGGTCCCCAGGACTTTCACGACCTCACAACTGGTTGGGTGTGGTGCCTCACACCTGTAATCCCAGGAGGAGGCCAAGGCAGGAGGATTGCTTGAAGCCAGAAGTTCAAGACCAGTCTGGACAACATAGTGAGAGCCCAGCACTACAAAAAAATTTTAAAAATTAGCTGGGCGCAGTGGCTCAAGCCTATACTCCCAGCCATTTGGGAGGCTGAGGCAGGAAGATAACTTGAGCCGAGGAGTTTGAGGTTGCTGTGAGCTATGATGCTGCTGCACTCTAGCCTGAGTAACACAGCAAGACCTCTTCTCTGAAAATACCAAAACAAAACCAAAAAGAACCCACAACTTCCACCTCGCAGTCTTCTGCTGAAGTCACTCCTCTCCCCTGCCCTGAAGCCCCGCCCCGCTGGCCTCATACCACCCCCTCTGCAGTCTGAGCTCCTTCCTACCTCTGCTCCTTTATCTAGGCTGGTGATTCTCAACCTTCCTAATGCTGTGGCCGTTTAATACAGTTCCTGTGGGTCGTGACCCACAGGGTGAGAACCGCTGAGGCTGTTCCCTTCACCAGACACACCTGTCCCTCAGCGAATATCTGGCTAAAACCCATACTGCTGTTCTCAGTATAAAAGCCCTCTATCAGGACAGCCTTCCCTGATTCCCCAGACTAGGATGGGGTCGCTGCAGCCCATCCTCTAAGCACCAGAAGTCCACGCACAGGTATTTGTTTTGTCAGCGTTTGGTCACTGTTGTCTTGACAGCACATAGAAAGCAAGGCCAAGCAAGAACTCCTTTGGCCTCACCACCAGCATCCCAGTCACTGGCTGCCATAGGCTTAGCCCAGACAAGACCCCATAAAGAGCTATAGCTTGGGTGAAGGAAAGCGAGTTCTTCCTCTCTGCAGTCAGTCACTGACAAATGTGCTCCACGGAATCAGTGACTTCCATTCCACAGGTGTAGTTCGTTGAAGTGTTTGTTGACTGGCTGACAGATGGTCCTCCAGATACTGCAAGTCCTTCCTCAGGGACATGGCCAAGCCCCTTTAACCAGCAGGTCACCCTCTGGCCACCTCCAATCCAAGTACAGCAACTGCCCAGCCCCCTCCCTGGCCCTGGCCACGGCAGCAGCCTCAGGGGGCTGACCTTGTCACAGCCCTGCCTGGCAGACCCCATGGACTCCCTCTTTTTGAGTATAGAGTCCAAACCCCCTTCCCCAGTTTTGAAGGCCCTTCACATTCTGCTTTGGTTTCTGAAGCCTCCTCCTTTGCCACTGTGCTCCCCAATGAGGCATCTTGCCAACCTCCCCAAGTCAGGGGAAGCCCCCCAGCAAGTCCCTGTGCCTGTACTCACACTGTCCTCCCCCTGTACCCCCCGGTCAGGAATGCCCTTCTCCTGCTGACCAGGCAGGGCCATGGACCCTTCAGTCCATGACCCAGGTGACTCACCCCAACCTCATCTCCTATTCCCATCTTATGGAAGTCTCCACACCTACCACCCTCCCAGGGGCCTGCCTCTCACCACTCACTTGTCCCTGTATGCGGCATCCAGTGCTGGTCTGGTTCATAAAAGCTTCAAGGAGCAACTACTGGATGAAACTGAAGAGGCTGCAGTTCTTCCTGGCCACACAGGTCTGGTCTTCAGCCCCAGCCCTCGATTCTAATGCCAGAATCCTTTACTTTGGAGGGTGTCTTCCCATTAGGGAGGCACCTGGCCCGGGCTCCCACACCATGGTAATGAGAAGCTCACCCTGATTCCAGCCACTCACTCTCTTCCTTAGGCAGTGCAAGGTAGCTGAGCTGAAGCCAGTGCCCTGGACTGCCCCAGTCCCACCCAAAGGGCTCCAAAGGCTCACTCTGCTCTCTTGCCGCACCTCTGCCCCCGGCTAGCACCGCCTGGAGCCTGACCCCCCCCCCACGCTTTCCCGAGCATGTGCACTGCGCTTGGATCTCAATTCTGCCGCCTCTCCCCGGGTGACCCTGGGCAAGAGACTTTGCCTCCCTCAGCACCAGTTTCCTCATCTCTAAAGTGGGAATAATAATAAAGATTGTAAGAATTATAAGGATCAAGGGACTTTCATATAAAGGGTGCTCATAAAATATTTTTTGCTGTGTTAGTTTTCAATACATTGATTTCTATTGAAGATGAACAACTTATGAGAATGACAAAGAGGGAGGGTATTCAAGGCTTAAATGAAATTCTTAAGGATTCATTAATTGCCACGTTCACTTCTC